CCTTAATTCAGTCAAGCCATTCTTAGTTGAGCTCTTACTCATTCTTAGCTATTTTTTGCTGTCATCTTCAGATCAAGGATCTTAGAGTAGAAATCACATGTGATTCCTCACAAAAGATTTTTTTCTCGTCTCGAAATTAGTTTGTGAATACGTTCAAAATCCGGTGCTTATGTCTTACCGTGCAAAATCTACGATCAGCAAAATCCTCGACATAAGAATATAATATGAGAATTGCCGGAAGCATTTAGCCTAACGTCGACGCAAATGTCCGCAACCAAATAGCTACTATGGCTGTAGTAAACATCTCTTAATCTTATTCTATGTTCACATTGGGCAACATTCTGAGTGAAAAAACAGCGATTTGAAAACCTGCTGGAAAATTTCATACATTCTAAAAAGTACATTTCCTCAGTAATTTTTTTCTAACAAAAGTCTGGTACAGCTTTTGCCGTATTTGAATGATTGCCTGAAAACGAAATCATCGATGAGTAGGTTACATAAGGGGAGAAGTTATGTAGTAGTAGATAATAGTTAAGTAAAGTGCCGTCAAATGTTTTTTCAAAGTACACTTTTTCAACAGTTTTCCTTCCTAAATTTAATTAGTGTGTAGAATAACAAGTTTCAGAGTAGGGAGAGAATAAGGGCAAAAGAAAGGGAGGTAAAAGATGGAAACAACGATTTTTACCAATACTTCGGCAAATATGAATTTAAATGAGCATCCTTTTATATTATTTAATCACGATCAGACGTCTTCTATCTAACGTGTAGTCTCTTTATCAGTATAATGATATCTTTGCTTATATAATCTAAGTATGTTAAGAATAGGGCACGTTCTCTTACAGTATGGTTGACCCGCTCTTCACTCAGGATCAACCATATTGTACCAAAAATTTTTTGAGAAATCACTTTTATGCAGGGCGATGAGTGAAGAGAGAGGGTGAGAGGAAGGAATTCCCATTTTTCTTTTCTTAGTCTCCTCTACAATCGTGCTCTCACAACTTTTTGATTAGGATCGCCATAGTTTGAAAAATAGCACGTAAATATTT